TAACATGGTTAAGATCATAGACTGTTTCCTCTCTTAGAAAACTGCATTATTACTCATCTAACTGATACTACTAACCCATCTGTAGAATTTGCAGTGTTTTCCCAACAGCAAAGAAGCATTTGAACTGAACCATCCATCTAAGCTGGCTTCTCCTCATTATCAATAACAAATACCAACAACTAGGCTGGACACAGGTGAAGGATGCTATTTGTAGTCATGAAATCAAGTAACTGGCCTAAACTGGGATGGAAAATTCACACCCTTCACTTCACTGGTTCAGTTGCTAACCCTAACCTGCTAAATTAACAAGTCACAGCCAGCATATGACCTAGCACAATCAAATAATGTTTTTCATGATAATACCAACCTCATTTTTGAAGACAGTTAACACTGCATCCCTTTCTACAAGAAAACTACTCAAATGATATGAAACCCCATGTACTCACTGCTCAAAGCATTCTGGGCTTCCTACAGTTCCTCCAATGTACTGCCCTCTCTCACCGCTGGGTCTTCACACATGTAGTTCTTTCTGCCTACAAAGCTCTTCCAGTCCTCAACATCCGGCCCTGCATCATGCCCTCAGCACCAGCCTCTCAGCCTACCTCCTACTATTCAAAATCCTGATCTTCCCTTTAACCACTTCTTCTGGCAAGCTTTCCTTCTTCACAAGATCACGCTATGTGCCTATGGTGAAGAAGCCCAAACCTGTTTCGCTGTACTCACACTGCCCTGTAATGGCCTGTCTTTCCCACAGACTAAGCTCCACCACTGTAGCACCAAGACTAGAACTGAAAAGTAGCACAAGACCCCCAAATTTGCTGTCTTAATGGTACGTGTGTGTAAACAAAGTGTGTATATTAATATTTAATTGCACTTATATATAGTAGTAAATACGTATGAGAAAAGGAAGTAACTTCCCATGCACATCCCAAAAAGAAAAAAGAAATAAAACTGAATTAATGCAGAGTTTAGTCTTTGCCACTTAACTCGTCACGTGGGCACTCCAGCCCTCAATTTCCTCAGCTATAAAATATGAAAATTCTAAAATACTCCTAGATATAAAATTTTGAACATTTCAGCAATGTCAAGTACACTTAAGGTTACTAGAGCTAAAAAGCTAGGATCAACTATTATAGCCTAATATACAGAATGACAATAGGCATCCTAAAAAACAGAACATGAATCCCCGACAAGCACCTGACAGTACTAGAACCTACTAAATAGCCTTGCAAAGAGAACAGTCTCATTTCACTGGAAATCAAAGGCGAGCACACACTCCCAACCCCAGGAGGTGTTACACTGTCAATGCACTTTTGCTTTATCATACCTCATTTCAAGTAAGTTTTTGCCACACATGTAAACTTCCCCATTAAGTTTATACGGGAAGTATAATTAAAAGATAATATAACTGCACTAAATTCATTCACATCAAGTTAAATACATCGACCCTAGCAATTTATAAAGTTTTTTAAAAAGACTCAGAAGAGTTGGGCTGGGTTTAGAATGTCCACTGCTTTTACATACTTATCAGAATGAGGACAAAAGGGCACATGAGGTCTGCAGCAGGAAATAAAAATCAAATCTTAAAGTGGCAAAGCTGAGCAATATACATCAATTATGGCTCATAAAACAGTATCCACAGGCCTACAGTCCCACAGATTCAGAGCTGAAATGAACCTTCAGACATCAAACACATCCCCCCATCTTACGAATGAGTAAACTAAGCCTCATTGCAGGGAAATGACTTGCCCAAGATTACACAACTGGTTAGAAGAAGGACCAAGCCTCCTAACACTGAGTCCAGTGGCTTTTTAGTTCTCAAAACTGTCCCACCAGGACCCATCTATGGTACACAAAGTCTTTCAGGTACACAGTAACACTCTCAAATTCTGTACGAATTTGAATACATGATAATGAATGTCAGTATCACAGAACAAACCTTCTGAAGATAAAAACTTAGTACAAAACTTAAAGAATTAAACACACACATCTAAATTCAGATATGTAAGGGGCACCTGGGTGGCTCAATGGGTTAAGTGTCTGACTCCAGTTCAGGTCATGATCTCACGGTTCATGAGTTCAAGCCCCACATCAGGCTCTATGCTGACAGCTCAGAGCCTAGAACCTGCTTAGGATTCTATGTCTCCCTCCCTCCATCCCTCTTTCTCTCTGACCCTCCCCCACTCATGCTGTCTCTCTCAAAAATAAATATTTAAAAATAAATTCAGATATGCAATTCTATTTAAGTAATCTCCATACCCGACGTGGGGCTTGAACTCATGACCCCGAGATCAAGAGTTGGATACTCCACTGACCCAGCCAGCCCCTGGATATGTATTTTTGTTTTTTTTTCCTAGATATGTATTTTTGACTATTTTGTCTCACCTTGGGGTCTTAAATCAGATATGAAATTCAATACCCATTAAAATAGTTCTATCCCATGAATATCTATAACCATAAATAATCCTGGCATATTCATTGGCAGAGCACTATATGAAATTGGGTATTTTATTTTTTAAATGTTTTTATTTTTGAGAGAGGGACAGAGCATGAGTGGGGGAGGGGAAGAGAGAAAGAGGGAGACACAGAATCTGAAACAGGCTCCAGGCTCTGAGCTGTCAGCACAGAGCCCAACCTGGGGCTCGAACTCAGGACCAGCGAGATCATGACCTGAGCTTAAGTCGGTCACTCAACCGACTAAACCACTCAGGCACCCCTGAAATTGGGTATTTTTTTTTAAATTTTTTTTTTCAACGTTTATTTATTTTTGGGACAGAGAGAGACAGAGCATGAACGGGCGAGGGGCAGAGAGAGAGGGAGACACAGAATCGGAAACAGGCTCCAGGCTCTGAGCCATCAGCCCAGAGCCTGACGCGGGGCTCGAACTCACGGACCGTGAGATCGTGACCTGGCTGAAGTCGGACGCTTAACCGACTGCGCCACCCCGGCGCCCCTGAAATTGGGTATTTTGAATGAAGACAATAACAATCAAGGAATCTGAGGACACTCAGTCTCACATTTAAGGGTCTCTGTGCTATGACACTGCTCTCCTGGCAGTTTTCAAGGTGGTCACAGGGTCAATCTCAACCTGTGCACCATGGATGAGCACAAAGGAGTACAGACCCTCTACGTAAGCTGTTCAAGTATGCCCCCTCCCCTCCTAGTCAACTCTAACAAAGCAACCTGTTTTCACACACCCCTGAATCACATCTTCTTATCTTATCCCTGGACAGTATCTTTTACAAACCAAAAGCAAAGGAAAAAACCACTATCTATATGTAAACTACTCTCACACAGCAAAAGAGTTCTGAACTACTATTAAAACTCTATCAATATCAAATACAGGCACCTATGATGAACCCTGGTTACTGGCAGTATCTTCCAGGTCTCTAAAAGAAAATTCATTAGGCTCAAGAGAACAGAAATAAGAGGATGAACCAGGGTCCACACCCTGCAACTTTGCCTTCAAAGCAATTTCAAAGCCATTTGTAAGCATCAGGTTTAATCATCAGGTCCTTCTTCCCTGTCATTTATACCATCCAGTAGCACTGAATTCTCCATTACATGTTTGCCTCTCCTATAAAATGAATGCCCCATGAGGGTAGAGGCCATCATCTTTGTATCCCAATGTATATAATTTAGTTGACAAATATGGTAAAAGAGTAAACCCTATTTTCCCACTTTCTTTGTTCATTTTTCCATTCATCAATGAAATTTAAAATTTTTTTTTTTTCAACGTTTATTTATTTTTGGGACAGAGAGAGACAAAGCATGAACAGGGGAGGGGCAGAGAGAGAGGGAGACACAGAATCGGAAACAGGCTCCAGGCTCTGAGCCATCAGCCCAGAGCCCGACGCGGGGCTCGAACTCACGGACCGTGAGATCGTGACCTGGCTGAAGTCGGACGCCTAACCGACTGCGCCACCCAGGCGCCCCTGAAATTGGGTATTTTGAATGAAGACAATAACAATCAAGGAATCTGAGGACACTCAGTCTCACATTTAAGGGTCTCTGTGCTATGACACTGCTCTCCTGGCAGTTTTCAAGGTGGTCACAGGGTCAATCTCAACCTGTGCACCATGGATGAGCACAAAGGAGTACAGACCCTCTACGTAAGCTGTTCAAGTATGCCCCCTCCCCTCCTAGTCAACTCTAACAAAGCAACCTGTTTTCACACACCCCTGAATCACATCTTCTTATCTTATCCCTGGACAGTATCTTTTACAAACCAAAAGCAAAGGAAAAAACCACTATCTATATGTAAACTACTCTCACACAGCAAAAGAGTTCTGAACTACTATTAAAACTCTATCAATATCAAATACAGGCACCTATGATGAACCCTGGTTACTG